AAGATAAGTTGTCCATAAATATGTGGGTTTGATTCTGTATTTTCTATTTGATTACATTGTCTATATAACTGTTTTTGTTCCAGTACCATACAATTTTAATTATTATGGCTTTGTAATATAGTACAGCCTGAGCTGTACTACTAAGTGTGTTACCTACATTCTCCTCTTTTCAGTCAGGAGAGCTTTGGTTAGTTGAGGTTTTTTGTGGCTCCATATGAATTTTATCAACACTTGTTCTATTTATTTGAAGAATGTCATTGAAATTTTTATTGAAATAGCATTGATTCTGTAAATTGCTTTTGATAGGATGGTCATTTTGATAATAATTCTTTCAATCCATGAGGAGGGGATGTCTTTCCATTTTTGTGTTTTCTGTATTTATTGTAACAATGTTTTATAATTTTCATTGTATAGGTCCTTCACCTCTTTTGTTTGGTTTATTCCCAAGTGTTTGCTTTTTTGTTTCAATTATAAAAGGGGTGGTTTTCTTGATCTCCTCTTATTGCGATTGACTGCATATAGGAAGTCTACTGATTTTTATGTGTTGATTTTGTATCCTGCTACTTTACTATTTATTTTTTGTAGTTAAAAAATTTCTGTAGACAGCAAAAGGTTGAGTTCTGTTTTTTAATCCAGCTTGCTACTCTGTGTCTTTTTATTAATGACTTTAGTCTATTTACATTTAGAGTTATTATTGATACACTGGCATCTGTAATTACCATTTGTTTGCCTTTTGTGATTATATTCCTTGCTTTATTCTGTTCTTCCTATTCATCGCTCTGTTGGTTTTGGCTTTATGATTTCTTGTAATGTTTTTTTGGAGTGGGGGTTTTATAATAATGAATTTCTGGAGGTTTTGTTTGTCTGAGAAGGTTTTTATTTTTCTTCATAAAGAAAGGAGAGCTTTGTGAGGTATTCTTGGTTGGCAGTTGTTGACTTGGAATTTGTTAAATATGTTACCACTCCATTCTTTTCTTACCCACAGTGTTTATTTGGAGGTTTTGCTTTTATAGGTTATCTATTTCTTCACCCTATCAGTTTCATTACTTTTTCCCTGTCTTAGATTTTTGGAAACTTTACTATAATGTTTCTTGCTGGTGTTGTTTCCTTTTATTGTGATAATTTGGTGGTATTCTAGCTTTCTGATGCCTATTTTAATTTCCTTCTTTATGCTTGGGAAGTTCTCTCCATTGTTCTCCTTGAATAATTTCTCCACCTAACAAAGAACTCAAAAAGGCCATAATGAAAACTATTAAAGAGTTAAGAGAAAATGCAGAGAGAGATAAGAGATAAGTGAACTGAGGGAATAAGTGAAGGAATTGGAGGATATTCAGAGATTAGTGGAGGAGCTCAAGAATTCTGGGAAAAAGAATGAACAAACACTAGGAGAACTATCTGGACACCAGAGGAAAGGAAAAATAAGAGTCATGGGAATCCCAGAAGGTGAGGAGAGAGACAAAGGAACATCAACCTTTTCCTTTGCACTTCTCTTTCCTTTTTTGGTTCTTTTTATGTCTGTAGTTTTGAGAGCACAGATTCACTCTTCCATTTTTTTTCTATTCTACTTTCATGATGTTTCCCAGACTTCTTGAGTTCTCCTCCACTCATCTCTGGCTATCCTTCAGTTCCTTCACTTTTTCCCCCAGTTCACTTATCTCTTTCTGCATTTTTCTATTCATTCTTTAATAGTTTTCATTATGGCCTTTTTGGGTTCATTTTCTGTTTGGTGGAGATATCCGTCCCTGTCCATATTATCAGGTTCAGGTGGTTGACTTTCTTTCTGAGGTGTATGGTTCCCAAAATGGCCTGCTTGGTCATTTGTATTTTTCTTCCCATTTTCAGCCTCCAGCTTTGCTCTGTTCACAATGTTCCTCTACTGCTAGTGCTGGTGAGCATGACTTCTGACTTCTCTTAGGCATGGTTGTGTCTGCCTAGTGTCTGAACTGCTGTGACTGGTGGGTAGAGTATAGCTGTGGGCTCTTGTAGTTTTCCCCTCCTTTCTCTTTAGCTGTACCCCTGCTCTAGGCAGGTTATAATTCCCATCTCTTTTCCCAGGGTGTTGGGGTCTATTGAATTTGAGGGGTTCCTGCTGTTCCCACCTGGGTACATTTCCTGGCACTCTTCTACTATGGTAGATGCTGTTCTAAGCTGTGCTTTGCTCCAAGAGCCCCTGCTTTCCCAGACCCCACTGCATAGAATGGACTCTGATATCTCAGCCTGTGGTAATCAAGACTCTTGTGTGGAGCTTTTTACCTCCAGAAACATGCTGAGGCCAAGTCCACTGGGATGTGCCTGCAGGCTGGGTGGGATGTATTTCTCTGTTGAACTTTTAGGTGTATCTAAACAAGTCTCAGAGGAATCAAAAGAGATAAAGGATAATAGGAAAAAGGAGTATGATATGGAAATGTGAAAGGAATAGAAGTCAGAGAAGAAAGAAAAGTCTAGATGGGGGTAAGAGAAAAGAGGGAGGAGGGAGAAGAGGGGATATATCAGAGAGAGAATAGAAAGTAGTGATGGTAATGTTAAAGGGGAAAAAGAAGAAAAACAGAACAATCAGAAAACAGAAATAAGAAAGATAGAAAGGAACAACCGACAACCCACTGACCAATAAACAAATGTACAAACAGATGAGGAGAGAATTGCTTCTCAGGACTCTGATGGTTCCCTGTGAGCTAGTCTCCTGTTTTAGTCTGGTCCACTGGGGAGCGCCATATGGCTGAGTAAGATAGTCTTCCCAGGGAGGATTAAAAAGCAAGCACAGAAGGGTAGGAATGAACTGCAGCTGTGGGTGTGAGAGATTTGGTATGCTTTCTGGGCCCATGAGGTATTTGGGTAGGTGATGGGGCTCCTCTGACCTCCTTCTCCCAAGGGCTTGGAGTACCAAGAGGCCCCCAGTGTAGGTACCAGCTCTATGAGGTTCCCTCTGATGTCCTTCCCTTTGGTAAGCGCGACCAGTTAAATGGCCCTGCTGGTTTCAAGAGTGGGGTGGAAAAGGGATGTGCTAAACTAAAGGGTTCACACCTGGAACTGTTTGTTGTGCCTGTGCCATGTGCCAGTGTCAAGGCCCCATTTGCCCACCTGTCACTTTGTGGGCCTCTCAGATGTCTCAGGATTTTCTGGGCATCACTGTCTCCAAGCTTTTCCTCCCTTTCTTCTAGATAAAGTAGGCTGTCTTTGTGAATGGAGGAGGGAGAAGGGTCCTGATAATTTTCTCCTTGCCCCTGTCTTTCTAAATTTCTCAGTGTTTGGGTGAGTTACTGGTATTGTCAAGTTTGTCTAATGTATCTGGATCCTGTCAGGAACTCACCATTATTTTTCCCTATCAGATATTTTTATGGGAGCACCTGGTCCCAGTGTCCCTTTGCCATTATGTTGATTATGTCCCTCCTAAAGCTTATGCTTTTACCACTGTATTTCACAAATGTCACTAGAGAGTAACTTCTATCATTAATTTGGCAGGAATTATGAATGCCATCTTCATCTGAAAATTTTTGAGATTTTTTTTGCCTCAGGGCTGTTTTCTTCTATATTTCTTTTATTGTTACTTCTCCATTTTTTCTTTTTCTAAAATGCCATTATTTTGTATAGCAAGCCCATGGATCTGACATCCATGGGTTTGCCATCTATGTCTTGCATGTTTTTGCACATGGTTTCCATTTCTTCAAGTTTTTGTTCTCTGTTGTGAGATATTTCCATTTGTTTGTTCCAGAATATTAATTCAGTTCTCATCAGTGACTATTCTTACTTGGTTTTTCTATTGAATTCTTAAATTTAGAAATAATACTTGTTCTTCCAGAATTTTTTTCTCGATTCTAATGGCATCTTAAGAGTTTTCCTTACATATTTTCGGTTATAGTGCTTGTCTGTCTCTTCTGTTAGTTCTGCTTCAATCGGAGCCACCTGTTCTTGTACTGTTCAAGTCCTTTTTAGAGGGTTGTAATTTTTCTTTGCCTATCCATATCCATACAGGTCAGGCTATTGTCAGTTGCTGTGGATGAATTGATAGGCAGTAGATTGTAGAGTTGGAAATTTAGTCTAATGTCTTGGCAACTGAATGAACTGGAAAGCCAATCTCTTTGATGAGGCATGGGAGGCCTGATCTCAGGCCCCTTAAGGAGAGAAAAGGCTGTCCTTTTATAACCCCTGCAGTTTATGTTGGGATTACCAGCATCCTTTTGGGTGTAACATCTTAAAAAAAAAAGTTCACATCAAGTGGGGAGTAGAAGTATGTTTCCAGAACAGAGAGGGATCTCTTTATTATTTAGGTAAGGTCCCATCAGGCAGATAAAGTATCTGTGGTCTTCTAACAGATTCTACGAGAAATGAAAACCTTTTCTTGGACCCTTTGGGAACTCTAAGATGCCAGTAATGACACCAAAACCTACTCTTTATTTCTCTTGAAAACTAAAGGGTTCATAATCACTAGTGACTTCTTGATTTGCCAAATAGGAGCAATCTTATAAATTTCTTGACAAGGTAGTAGAACGACAAAGGACTTGTGAACATGCTCCCAGGTCACCATGAATCCCAGGGTTAAGGGTTTTTCTTTTTCCTTTTATACTATTTGAATAATTTAAGAAAAGGATCATCAAAATGAATTAGATACAGATGTAAAACAGATTATATCTTGAAAAGTGCTCATGTGAAAATTTATGTGCAGATTATAAAATTTGCACTTGCCACAGAAAAACTTTTTTACCACTTGCAAAAAGAACAATTTTGAGAGCAATTTAGAAAGTAACTTGGGATTTGAAACCATTCTACTTTCTTATTTCTCTTTTAGAAGAAGTTTAACATGTTATCTCCTAATTTTGATCCATACTTGGCAGTAGTAATATAAGTGCTAAAGTGTGAAGTTATTCCCCCATGCTGTGATTACCGATGGTTGGTTAGTAGTGTAACCATCTTTTTGGAGAGCAGTTCTGGGAAGATATTACCCAGTAAACTGATGTTCTTTTAATCCACGAAGATTATTTGATTGTTTTGATTTTTTGTTATAGATAGCCTTGGACACCAGTTACTGGACTGTCATTAATCATGTCTTCATCTGGGGCAGCATCGCCACTTATTTCTTCATTTTATTTACATTGCATAGTAATGACATCTTTGGCATCTTTCCAAATCAGTTTCCATTTGTTGGTAAGTCCATCCTACTGTCTATTGGGTCTGGTGTCATGCCGACATTTATTTGTTTTTGTAATTTATTTCCTATGTTGGGTGGGGCTAGGAAAGACCAAGATCCTTTGTCTATGAACTAATTGAGCCAGGCACTTAAAGCTTTCATGCTTGAAAGGTGCTCCAAAATAGGTTTCTGTTGCCAGATGCATAGGAATCATTGACATAGCACTCTATAGTTTTCTAACACCCAGATACATTAGTAGACTGTCCTTTGCAAATGAGGGGCATAATACATGTATCAGGATTAATTGAGGTCTTATAAAAAGTTTATATATAGAGAGAGAGGAGAAGGGAATAATAGCATCTTACTTTTATGCCACACTATCATCAATATTACTGCCAAAGTTCATGAGTGGAATTCATTTGCATTTAGGTAAGAAAGAAATGGTATATAATTTGAAGTCTTTAGAAAATATCTATCTACTAGCCCATAAATTATATAAAGAGTAATCTTTGCTGTGTGGATTCAAATGTCAGCTCCACTACTTAAAAGCTATGAGACTTTGGGGAAGTGTTTTTTTCCCTTCATGTCTGAATATCTTCATTTTTAAACTGAGGACATTAATACTTCCTATTTCATAGAAATTTCTAAAAGTTAAAGTATGTAAAATATGTAACATGTAGCCTTATACACAGCACTTTTTCAAGAAATGTTAGTGGTTATGGTGGTGATGATGATGATTCAAGAAAATGTTGCTTGATTATTAGTTGGGCACATTACAAAGTGATTTGAATATCATATGTGCAGCAAATGACCTCCTAAAATCCCTTAGTGCTCTAGTATTCTGCGATTTTTACAGAATGTACATCTAGTCTATCTATGGAGTATATTGCCATCACACTCCATATTTCAAAATTATTCCAGCAAGGGCAGCATGTTTTACACAAGGGACTGTGAATACACTTTCTCAGAAGTTTTGAAATCTAGTGTGTCTGAGATAAATTGGTAACATATTTCTGAATTCATCCCAGCAAACTGGAAAAGAGAGATACAAAGTGACAACCTTCTTGAGTTCCATCAGACAAGACTAAGGTCCACTGGTTGGAAAATCCAGTCTAGAAAAACAATTCTTAGAAGACTGATTCATGTAGAAAGCAAAATAAGAGCAATTATAGGGTTATACATGCTCACTGATACCTGATGTTATTGGTCTATTTAAATGTACACATACACTTGGAAGCTTTGTTGTTTGATTTTTGCATATTCTGTATGTCCATGGAAATCTTGAAGTTGTACCACTTTTACTTAATACCTGATGTTAATGCTTTATTGCTTTAACTAAAGATTCCAGCCATGTAGAAACATGTTGGTTCTGAATAACAATACACATATTAGGAAAAAAGACATTAAAACTATTTTTAAATTTATTTCCTCACTTTCTTTTTTTTGTTGCCAAAACTGAAAGTACAATGCATTGACCAGAAGACTTCCAGTCCTAACAGAGCATTCTAGCATGCATAATGAGACTGGAATGCCTCAACTGGAGAAAGTAGTTTTTGTGGGGACCATGCTCTCCAGCTAAGCACATGCCATTCCAGGAATTAATTACTGAGCTCCAATGAGACTTTTGAAAAGTTAGATCAACAGTGGAGCTAAAGAAACTTTTTTCCTTAGTAGCAAGCAGGATGCAGGGGTGTGGTTTTAAAGTGAAACTTGTTTTTTCAGCCATGTGTGTGGATGCTGAACTTCAAGGAGCGCAGCAGATAAACCTTCTGTTTCATGAGTGAAGTTGCACTGCACAGAGTCTGCTTCAGGGAATTGTTGGCTCCTGCTGGCATTCTCCAACTTATCAGGCTATATCAGTTCCCAAGAGTATTCCTACTACCTTTATCTTCTCCTCCTCACCACTGAACATTTGACATGGGCTGAAGACAGCCCATGCTTCTCCCTAGGGCATTGAAGCCTCACTATTTCAAGAAAAAAGATGTTATGGGAATAGACAATGAGTTTGTTAATTCAATAAGTGAGACTTCTTTATGACAACAATGTCTATTTTCCTTTAACATAGGAAGCACACAGCATTCTTTGGCCCAGAAGTGCATCTGGCTTATTATTCTCTTAACGACGGTGACTTCAGTTATGCCTGTGGTGACATTCAGATTTTTGAAGGCTGATTTATTCCCAACTCTGAGTGATCAGGTATGTGTTATTGATGATGAGTTACTGAAGAGCTGGTCTCTTGGAATGATGGCTTTCCCTGGAAGCTTGGGGAAACACCAATGAACTGCTCATTGGCAAACATCCACAGGTCATGACATGACATCAGAGTAGATAAACTTCCACAGCTGAATATGCTCGCCCTATAAGTGCCAATGAAGAGGAGAGTATGGAGAATTATGGGTGCAGAGTCATATGTTACAAGTGAAATTGGGCATTTTTATTAAATTTAACTTTAAATAAAAGAAGCTCACTGGCAGTATGTTGGACAGTTGTTCCAAGGCAGAGATAAAGTAGCAGGGAACTTATTGGTGTGCAGGTAGTAAAGGGACAATAATGGAGGGACAAACATGGCATGAGGTGAAGAGACTCGAAATATTTGTAGAAATATAATAATAGATTCAGAAACATGAGGAAGAAGTTAACTTCTAAGCAAGTTAAGAAAATAGCAACTTGAAAGAAAATGGGACTGAAAAATATGAAGATAGAAAGAAAACAAAAGAATGGATTATAGAAATACCTAACCTAAGGAAAAGTGGATTAAATTTCATAGAAAGAAGTGGATAAACCAGACAATGTCGAGTTAGGTCACAATCCAGTTAAAAAGAGAAATGATTAAAAGAAAAAAAAAAAAGGGAAGCACACATTTGTAGCTATGTTATGACAAGGAGAAACCTTGATGCGGTGAGTGACCAGGTTAATGATGATGACAGGAACTCCCCTTATCATTATATTCTCCAATTCTGGGGACAAAATATAGGGAGATTCCTTCTGAAATGATTCATGTTGTCCCCTGATATATCCATCCTTTCCCCTTGGCTCTATGAGCTCAATCTGATGTAAATCCAGAAAATGGTGGATGGGCTGATAAAAGGAAGATGATGTTCATTTCTTCTGCTATTTAGTCAGATCATGATTTTCTGCTGAAATACTTTCTCCTGACACAAAAGTCAGAATCCAAGTTATTAGTTGCATTAGAGAACAAGCCTTGGATCTTTTACCCCTCAACTTTACAGGGAAATGAAAGAAATATTGGAAAATTACCAACATGAGTTCTCCAAAAGACCACACAAAAGGAATTATAACCCTGAAAAATCTCATGATATATCAACCTCCTGCAAGAGCTGGAAATGTCTGACTGATTTTCTAAAGTTTTTTCCTACTATCTAAGGGCTATTGGATCTTGAGTATCTTTAAATGAGAGGGAGACATTTTTTGGAGGGATGGGACTACACACATACATCACCTCAAAAAGCAATGTGTTCCTTGGGGGTCCCTGATATGGGTGCATCATCTCACTCCAGGTCTTCTTCTCCTCCAGATCCGCCAGAGGCAGAAAGCTCAAAGGAAGTCCAGGCCCCTCCGTAGCCGAAGGCCTCAGACTCGTAGATCGAGCTCAAGAAGATCTGGATATGCTTTTGCTCACCAAGAGGGCTATGGAGAGCTTATCACATCTGGAAAAAATATGCGAGCTAAACATCCACCCCCAACATAAGGATTGGAAAAGACAATGTATAATAGCACTAGCTGGGTTGAAAATTTATGTAAGAAAACCACAGACACAGTGAGCAACTTTAGCCAGGATGAAACAGTGAAAATGTGAGTCAAGAAGAATTTGAACCACACAGTTATCTTTTCACTTCAGCTGCAGCTGAAATTCAACTGGCTCCAAAGTTGGGGATCAGAGGTGAGGAGTGGGATGGATTGCCTCACTTAATTTAAATCTGTGGCTGACAACTGCTCGTGCCCATCAAATAGGGGTGCACTCTATGGAAAACCATGCCAGATGGTGGTTGTCTAACTTGTGGTTTGGTGAACAAAACATTCACGATACAAGCAGAAGCTTATAATAACCTAGATACCAAGCGGCACCAATTGGCCTGAACTTCAGAATCTTATTTATACAGAAAAAAACTGTAAATCTGTATTTACAGATTGACTGGTTCTTCAGGTGGATAAAGAGATATATTCAAAAGGTATATATTCCAGTTGCATTTTATTCTTGTTGCCAGATAAACACATATATGTGAGATCAGTCTTTCTTCAGGTACCCTTTGAAGATTTTAAATCTTTCAGATGAAGAGTAGTTCCCACTGTCTAGGCTTGTTTTCCTGGTGTGTTGAGCCAAGAAAACAAATCACTTTCATGAAGAATAGACAAGTATGTTGGTGCTTCTCATTGTTCTACCATGTTCTACCAGACAAAGTAGATTGAACATCTTTATGTGGAATAGACTGATAATGTGTTCAAATTTATTAAAAAAAAACTCTCAGGGACATGTTTATGGAATGTCAAAGACAAGTTGTCTAGTAAGTATTCTAAATAAATTTCAGTGACTTTTATAACAACCTCAGTAGTAATCTGCCTTGTGTGATTCAGACCCATTAATGGAATCAGTAGATCATTGGACTAGTTCACACTTAATGACAGTACTTCATCTAGTGTATGAGCATGTATTTTGTACATTTTCTATTTTAAAATTTGGTTCAGATTCGAAACCAAACAAATTGGCAAACAGTATGTTCAGATACTATTTAAGTACTCGAGTTTAGGTTATTCAGAACTCACTGCTTTCGATATTCACCTATGATGCTTATAACTCAGATATATAAATACATGCAGATGAGGCTGGCTTTTTAGAGATGTTTCAGTCCAAACTTCCATCTATGCTTAAGTCACCAGTGTCATTCTTATAAAAGCTTCAGGCAGATTCATGTTCAAGCTTCATTTCTATCACTTCTTACCTCTATAAACTTCGGCAGTTAATGTACTTACTTTGAGACTCTGTAAAATGAGGATATACTACCTACCTCATGTGGTTGTTAGAAGATTGTCAAAATGCAAATCCTCAAATCAATAAAAATGTAATTTACATTGAGTAGACGATTAGTTAGGTTCCATTTAACTCATCATCAAAAATAACAGAACAGTTTGAAGACAATATGAAGAAGTGGAGTTTAATCAATAGAAAAGACTTTGATAAAATGATATTCCAAGCTAGATAAAAAACGAGTTAAGTCTTAGAGGGAAATGAAACTTGGAGATAAATTTCTCTGTCATAGGCAAAAATAAATCATCATCATGCCTTACCAATTTTCTATAAATGAACCTCTGACTTTACATAGTTTTTAATCTTGTTCCTACTAAATTATTAGTCAAGGTTACATTTCCCAGGACAGCCAAATGGCCCTTGGGTGGGCATCATGGATAGGGGTTTGCATGTTATCAACAGGTCATGCAATCTTTTGGAATGTACTTTATCTCCAAATCCAGACTAATTTTTCCTGAATGGGAAATAACATAATAAAGTGCTTTAATAACAGTAAATGTACAGTAAATAAATACTCCCTTTTCCCCTGTGTAGACTCACTCAGATGTTAGTTTTCAATGTCTAATTTGTTATTAGTTTCATTGAGCTTGTTCACTTCTTGTAACATTTTGAAAGAGCTGAAGACTTACAGTAAATGTTTTGTCACTACCGGTGTTTCATGTTTTGTCTTTTTATTAGCAACTCATTGGGTAGAGTTTGTGTTACATTGGTCAACTGTGGCTTTTTTGTTTTGTCTTCTTTCTCTCCTTTACATGTCCTGGGAAAATGTACATCTTTCTTACGATCAGAGTTAAGCGTAAAAGTGAAGCAATTGGACCTATGTGTAACAAGTGGGAAGGATTAAAAATGGTCCAAGTTGGCAAATTCAGTTCAAATTAAATAAGGCTGTTTATGAACAGATAATGTGGATGATTGTGAGAGAGACATATTATCAGCTTACTTTGGCCACATGAGATCCAAATAAGCCCACACACCCATTGAGAGATCATTCAATTACAAATGCCAGGAGTTATTTTGAATCTGAAGATGAAAAGCCTGAGGAGTGGGTGGTGATGGTGGTGCCACAGGGAATAATAAAATTTTAATTTTTCAAAAAAATCAGATTATTTGGAAAGAAAAGAAAGTATTTCTTGAATCAGGAGTAAAGTTGGTTAGCTCTGTGTTTTTAGGTTCAGTCTAAGTTTTGAGTTCACATGGGCAATTGTAGACTGTATTTCCCTAATGTAGAGTTTCTTCTTTTATCACATCTGCCTTCAGGTCTACATACATATGAAGGAAAGAAAGAAAGCGGGATGAGGAAAGCAAGAGAGATAAAGCAAGAGGAGAAGTACTGGGGGGCAATAAGGAGAAGAGTTTTCAGTTATGTGTCTCTTAATTTGATGTGACTGCCTGAAAAATAAAGTTAATTCCTCAGTGGAAAAAAAAAATTAGGTTGCATTTGAGCTGTGAGTAACAAAATTTTGTTCACAGTCAGAGTAAACTAAGGAAACAATTATTGAGAGAAGGGTCAGGAACATTGGCTTTTTAGTGCTGACTTGTGGGCGGTGGACATGCCACCCCACTCCAATCATGTTCCAGTCCAGCAATGGAGAGACAGGGGAGGATGGAGCCTGAGATCTTTTCTCAGTCACCCATTCGGTGAGCTGTTCTTGTTGCCTTTGTCTGCTGTGTATTTGCTTGTGTGTAGACAGATGACAGAGGAAAGAGATGGTAGGACCTGGCTCTTGTATTGGTTTGTATTTCTCTAGAACAACCTCCATGTACTGCTCTCTCTGGGTCTCTTTTAGGTCACCTTAGAGATGGTGAACTCAACAGTTGTTGAACAAAGTCAGTGCTAACAATCTACTAAGATACTGCCAACACTCTCTTTTGTTCTTTACTATTTTAAATATCAAAAGCATGTTAAAACAAAGACAAAATACTCATGGCCTGTAGAAGAGAACAATTTTAAAGTCTCCCCTTGTTCCTGGGCTTGAGGAAATTCACTGGGCCTCCCTTTCTTCAGATTCCATTGAAAGAGTAAAGCTTGAGTGATTTCCTTTATTGTTAGAAGGGACTTTTTTGTTTATGTATCACTTTTACATGAGCTGTATTATGTAGGCCTTACAGGGCCCCTATGAAGCAAGCAGATTAGACCCATTTTTAGGAAAAGGAAATCGAGGCAGCGCAAGTCCAAAGACTTTGCCAAATGTCACATTGAAAGTAAAAGAGCTGGCGTTCATTTCATTCTGAATCTGACACCACGTCCAGAGCTGGTTACCTAGAGTTCCTAATTGTACATCAAATTTGGGTACATCCTCACAGACATGAAAATTCTAAATAGTGCCTGTTCCCTCTAAAAACAGCCATTTAATTTCTCCAGTGTATAGATTCAGGGAAGGAGTGCAAACAAACATCAGCATGTTTTGAAAGTGTATTTTGGATATTTTCCTTCCCTCTCAGTACAAAAAGCACGATTATCTTCCATCCTTTCCGTCCACATTTCATCAAGTCAATTAGGTGTGGAGCACAGAGAAAGGAAATAAGTGATATTTACATACAAGGAAATACAACAAATTAGAAAAGCTGTACTTCTGATTTTATGATAAAACATTCCATTATGCTGTTATGTTAGTATATGCACAGAATGTCTCAAGATTGATATATCTAATGAACTCACTGAAATCACTCAGATTTACTGTTTCACATTTCAAAAATAGAAAAAATGTTTAATAGTGGAAGAAGCCAGAGGTGATGATGCCTCTGGAGTCTTGATGGGCTTTTGTAAATCAGGGGTCAGATAATCATGTGGGGGTCACAATTTTCCAATTTTTACATTAACATCTGGTATTTAATGCCTGCAGTTTGTTCTACTGTGTCACATTTCATTCCTCCGTGAGAAACCATAAACTTTTGCAATTCTCTAGCCTAAGCATTTCGTTGAACTGCCTGGAAGTCAGAACTAACTGCTCAGACCCATGTGTTTCAAAATGTTCCTTGCAAAAGATTTAGAGGTTCTGGATGGGCTAATATGTAAGTCTGGAGTTATGACTTAACCAAGAAAGGGGCCTATCTATCCTCGTGTTTCAAAACTTCCTGGCAGGTCTATTCCTGTAACTGATGTAGAATGCAAATCAGATTGGAGCTACGTGAGTAAATGTCCAGAGTTCAAGAATAATTTTGATGAATTTTCCAGAAATATCTGGCTATCACAATTCAGATTCTCGTAAGGTTTATAACTACAAGTTACATTTTTAATTAATTGCAGCCCTGAGCTTAATACAGAAAATCTTATCAGGGTGAGATGATGGTTCATGTAATGTGATAGTGAAAGAAAGATTAAGGACAAACCTTATTGTTTTATCTTGTCACAGATATTTCCATCTTGACTTCTTTTAGCTAAATGTGTTCGGTGAGTAGGATGTTTCCTTGGTGGTTGATGATTTTACTTAGATAAAAACATAAGCCTAAGTTGATACATGTAATTTGGGTAAGAATTACAGTGACTCCACAATGTCCTCAGAAAAAGTTTTAAATAAATCCTTGTTAAAAAAAAAA